ATACGAAGAATAATAGTCTTTGTCCTTGGCTTGCTCCTGTTTGCTGATTATGCATTAAGATGCATTTAATTCTTGTCATTTTACACTAGTTTTATTGGGAAGCCTCTGTAGAAAGTTTTTGTACACTGAACGATAACTTATATCAATACGTTGCAAGCCCAAGGGTGCCAGCGGAATATCAGATTTTTTATCTGAGTTTTAAAACAAACAACTTAAAAGCTTCTTACTCCCATAATCGAAAAGAGGAAATGGCTACGTCCCAGGCATGTCCAATGTTGTGAGTTCATGCTTATGTAGGATATTTGTTTATTCTTAACAGAACTTTACAGAATTAATTAAAAGGAGGTAGTAGATACGTGTATGTCGTCTGCACTGTACATCCGTAGATCTCGGCGGACCCTACATGGGTGAATAACCGTTGCAATATTTTGATTACTTAGCCGAATATGGTATTAAACTTTCGAATGAACGGTTTATGGGCCATGTTGCAATTGCGGCTTTAAAGGAAGCCATTATTAAAGGCCAACCCAATTTAGAAAGTTCGCGAACAAACAACGAGCTTTGAGATATTCATCGCTAAAATTTTGCCTTTCTTCGCTTAATTAAAAAAATCACGCGCTGAGAGCGCGAATGAGGTTATGCTGATATTGATGCGTAGAAGAATGACACAGTTGTTTCTGTCCCCTCGTCACTAACTTGACAGCGTGTCTTCGGTGGACTCGCCGGTGCCACACATCAAGACGACTAAGTCACTATTCTACGTATTATTTTCATAACGCGGTTTCTGAATCAAGCGAAGAAAGGAAAAGTTTACGATAAATTTCGCGAACCTTGTTGCTTTTTCGCGAATCGTCGAGATTGTGTTTGCCTTTAATAATGACTACTTATACAACTGCAATTGCACCATGGCCAATTAGGCCGTTAATAAAAAGTTAACTAACAGATTTTGCTTAATTATTAAACATCGCAAAGGTTATTCACACATTTATTGTCCACCGAGCCCTACAGATATAACAAAAGACGGCATCCACATATCTGCCACCTCCTTTTTTTTGTAAAATATGTAAAGTTCTGTAAAGAATAAAACAAAAACACCCTGCGTGTCTGCTGCGTGAACGAGATAGGCCCCTGTGGAACCATGGGTATTTCCTTTCGAATACCCAGCTCAGGCGAGACTTATACCCTTGTTACACGGGCACATTTAACTGCAGTTACGCTAAGCCGCAGATAGCGCACAATACTTGCGGACAACATCCTGCGGCTATGCAGTCAAAGCTATGGGCGAACGTGCACTTGAGCATATTGAGCAGCTATCGAAGCAGTGGCGCGCTCTTCACTTCTTCTGATATAGCTGTCAGAGAGTATAGTGCGGTATCTGTGGTGCCGCGAAACAGCAGTTAAGCAGAGTTAACCGCGGTTAAGTGTGTCCGTGTAACAGGGGTATCACCTGGTTGTCAAAAAGCAGCTGTCGGTTAGATGTACTGTTATGAGTGTGTGAGTTTCAGATGGTTTACCCTCAAGAGGATAATGCGTTGCATATTGTAACTATGTATGCGCTGCACATTGTAACCATTATTTCAGTGCCCTGCTGTAAACTATTACAACTTTTTCCTTGCCTGATCTACGTGTGCTCAAGTTTTCTGCTCAAGATGATGTGAAATAGTTGCTTGTTTTCTTTGAATCTCATAAATCATTACTTGTTCAGCCCACGTTGTCTCAGTTTTTGGGCTAAAGTTCAATGTTAAAACGCGTGATAAAAATTGTCACGGCAGGCATTTCTTGCAAGTGTATGTCGGGTGGTCCTCGGAGGGGCATGGCAGCCATGAAGAAATAAAAGATTCTCGCCCCTTTCCGATCGTCGCTTGTGTGGTTCGTCGCATAAATGAACACAAGAATGAAAAAAAAATTGGGTTGTGTGTATGTTTATACAACCTAGAACTTGGTCTGCCTCACAGGGGCGACTAGTCTCCCAACTGTAGATGAGAAATTTAGCCAGTGCGGTACAACCGCTAGCCTGGGGTCTTTAACGTAGTGATACAGTGATACACGACCGCACGCCGGTACGATGCTCATCCAGATCGAAACGGGCAAAGGTGGGGCTCGAACCCAGGATCCCTGGGTTCTGCAGCGCGAGCTTTCGCTCCACGTGCTCCGAGTCTACAGAATGCTTACTTCGCCTTAGAAGCAACCGCTCGGAACTGGTTCGAGAACCATGAAGCATCGATCACCTCCTGGGAGCAACTCAAAGGTGAGTTGCGAAGAACATTCACGAACCAACAACAAAGAGAACGCGCGGAAGAGCTTCTTTAAGCGAAGATCCAAGGCCCTAGCGAGAGCGTCGTCAGCTTCGTGGAAGATGTCCTGTGACTCAGCAACCGTGCCGATCCTCAAACCTCCGAAGCAAAGAAGCTGAGAATCCTGATGTGAGGCGTCAAAGAAAACATCTTCGGCACCCTTGTACGAGCCCCGCCTACCACAGTCAAAGGATTCATCACGGAGGCAACGAACATTGAACGTGCCTTTCAAGCACGGGCCTCCCATTACCAGCGACTTCCCGGCGTCGCGGCCCTCTCGACTTCCAGCTGCAACAGCCCGGACCTCCGCGAGATTATCCGAAACGTCGTGCGGGAGGAAATCAGGAAGCTGCTACCTGCTGCCACAAGCCCGGCTACACCCTCAGTCACCGAGATTGACCGGGAAGAACTTCAGCAGGCGCTGCAGCCAGAAGTTCTCTCGAGCGCCCTTAGCAGGACAAGGTCACCACCACGTGAACGAGTGGGGTGGGTCGACGCAGTCAAAGGAAACAATAAAAGGAGTGCGCAGAAAAACACCGACGCCACAAAGAAAGACGATTTGACTGAGGTGCGAGAAGCCAATGAGTCCCTAAGGCAAGAGAACGTGGCGCTGCGAAAGACCGTCAATAACCTCACGAGAGAGATCGCCGAGATCCGTAAGTTGCTGCTATGTAACAACGAGTCTCTACAGAGACCCACGCCAAGCACGAGCAAGGCGGAGGAAACAACCACGAACAACCAGGAGACAGCCGTAGTGGAACCGGCCCTGAAGAAGCGAGCCGTCGAAACCACGCGCAAACAGAAAGAACACGATCGCATCGACAACCCCGAAGCCAAATTCGAGGCGAGATTCACCAAACTCGAAGAGCTAATCACGGCAAACATCGCAGCAGTAACAGCAATGAAACAAACAATGGAGACGTACCAGGCCGAGAACATGAACAAATTCGCCTACATCGAAAGGACCCTACAGCCGATCGTGAGCCATCCGACATTTGCGCCCCTCTTCGCGCAACATTCACCCAACCAAGAAACCCAGTACGCGCCAACGCAATTATGGCCGCCAGCGCAACAACAGCAGCAGTAGGCGTAACAGCGTGGCAGTGGAACTGTCGTGGCCTCGGAAGGAAGAAGGCAGTCATCCAACAGCACATCGCACATGCCGCGCATAAGCCGGACGTAATACTACTACAAGAGACACCCACCGACGCACCGTCTCTCCCTGGCTACAGGGTGCACAGGGGCCCGCCCGACGGCAGAGGCCTGTGCACCCTGGTCAGGAAGGGACTCACGTTCGTCGAACACGAGCTGCACAACAATAGCAAGATCGAGCATTCACTCACCGAAATTATCCCGGGCAAGAAGAGAAAATGAAGTATATTTCTGCTCAACATCTACAGCAACCCATCGCAGAGAAAACAGAGATTCAAGACGCTACTGCACAGAGCCAGCACCGCAGCGGGCCGCAACACGCTGCTCGCGTGCGGTGACTTCGACGCGATGAACCCAGCCTGGGGTTACAACAAGTACACAGCAAAGGGCCGCGACCTGTACCAAGACGCCACGGAACTCAACTTCATCCTCATCACGGACCCGACGTATCCGACGAGAATCGGTAACTCCGTGTCCCGGGACACCACGCCGGACCTCACGTTCATCAAGAACGACGCCCGGGGAGCGATCACCTGGAGAAACACGGGGGCCGACCTCGGCAGCGACCACACCATCGTGGAAATCAGCATACCGGAACACAACGACATTAGCACCAAAACACACAGATGGATAGACTGGGACGCCTTCCGAGACGCTAGAAACCAGAAGAGTGACGGAGACGACGAGATCGAAGACATCGACTTGCGGACGGCCGAAATCACCAAGAGCGTACGCGATGCGACCAAAGAACTTGAAACGGACGCGGAGATCGACAAAGTAGACAGCCGGCTTGCGCATCTCATCGAAGCCAAACAGTCGATACTCAATCGATGGAAGAATCAACGGCTCAACCGCAGACTTAGAAAGAAGGTGGCGGAGCTCAACCGAGCGATCGAGGATCAGTGCCGCGCGCTATGTGTGCAACAGTGGAACGAGATCTGCAACGCGGCAGACGGGCAGATGCACAGCGGGAAGACGTGGAACCTGATGCGGCACCTGCTCGACGAAACCAAGACCAAGTCGCACCAAAGAGACAGACTCGCCAAGCTCATACATCAGGCGGTCTCGGTGCACGGCGCCGACGAAGTCACCAGGCGCATCATCGACAAATACCTGCCAACTACACCCACCGAACAACACGCGCCATACGGCGGCCTACCCAACGCGAAGCTCGATCGTGACATCGACATCGAGGAGGTCCGCGCGGCCCTGCACGACCTCAACAGTCGGTCGGCGGCCGGCCCGGACCTCGTCACGAACAAGGCACTCAAGAACCTCGACGACGGCTCGATTGAGAACCTAGCAAAATACTTCAACAAGTGCTGGAGAGCGGGCGCGCTGCCGAAGCAGTGGAAGACAGCCAAGACCATCTTGATCCCCAAGCCGGGGAAGCCACCGGACATGGACAACCTCCGGCCCATCTCGCTCACGTCGTGCGTGGGCAAGGTGCTGGAGTACGTCCTGCTCAACAGGTGGCAAGACTACCTGGAACGGGAAGGGCTGTACCCGGCCACGGTGATCGGCTTCAGGCGGCACCTGAGCACGCAGGACGCGATGCTGCAACTCAAATACCAAATCATCGATGACAGCGGTAACGCCCGCGACAACAAGGCAATCCTGGGGCTCGACCTGCAGAGCGCTTTTGACAGGGTGAAACACTCGGCGATCCTGTTCCAAGTCTCCAAGCTCAACATGGGCGAAAGATCCTATAACTATATTAAGGACTTCCTCACGGACAGGATCGCCGAGCTTCGAGCAGGCGACATACAGACGCAAGAGAAGGAGCTTGGAAGTACTGGTACACCCCAGGGGTCGGTTATCTCGCCGACGTTGTTCAACCTGGTAATGATCGGAGTGGCCGAGAAGCTCGCGGACATCGAAGACGTCAGGCACACTATCTACGCGGACGATATCACGCTCTGGGTGACCGGTGGCAGCGACGCCCACATCGAGGGCGCGCTGCAAGCCGCCGTCGACGCGATAGAAAACCAGCTGGAAGGCACCGGACTGAGATGTTCGCCGAGCAAATCGGAACTCCTGATAATCCAGCCTACTAACAACGGCAGAGGCAAGACCAGACAACGCGAATACGAAAAGATCCGTATAGTAACCAAATCCGGCAACGTGATCCCCGAGGTCGGCAAAATCAGGATCCTAGGCATGGTCATCGAAAAGCACAGAAGAAACGGTGAAACCGTCGCCCGTCTCACGGCCAAAGCGGCCAACGCAACGCGACTCCTCAAACGAGTCACGTCCCGGAAGGCAGGCATGAGAGAGGAGAGCCTGATCAGGCTCGTCCAATCCTTCATCATCAGCCACGTCGCGTACATTGCGGCCTATCACAGATGGCTGCAACACGAACGCAACAAAATCAACGCCATCATCCGAAGAGCGTACAAGACGGCGCTGGGCCTGTTCGAGTCTACGAGTACAACCCGGTTCTTACAACTTGGGATACATAACACGCTCGAAGAAATAGCCGAGGCGCAACGGACCGCTCAACTGGAGCGGCTGTCCACGACTACAACCGGGAGGAGGATACTTGACGACCTGGGAATAGGACACTCGAACGAGACGGAGACGAAGCTCCCAGTCCCCGAAGAGGTTCGAAGCCAGACCAGAATCGACCCCATACCCAAGAATATGAATCCCGACTACAACAAGGGAAGAAGAGCAGCGAGGGCGAACGTCCTCATCGACCTGCATGCCAATGACGAGCACGCGCGGTACGTGGACGCGGCCGAGTATCAACGGAACGCCTTCGCAGCGGTTGTCATCGAGGCTTCCACCGGCGCCACGAGGACGGCAGCGAGCGTGAGAAGCGCCGGAGCGGAACAAGCAGAGGAGGTGGCCATCGCCCTGGCCATCGCCGACGCAGACTGCCACACGGTGCTGAGTGACTCGAGACAGGCGGTTCGAAACTTCAGGAAAGGCCAAATCTGCCGGGAGGCCGAGCGAGTATTGCGAGCGGTCGAACTCCAAGACAGAAAAGTGAGAATCAAGTGGTTCCCGGCGCACGCGGGCGACGCGTCGGAACGCAATGACAACCACAACGAGACGGCACACGCAGCGGCGCGAGCGCTAACCAACCGCGCCCCGGCGGGAGACCGTCCGACGTGGTTCGAAGCCAAGGACCGCATGACGGACTATAACGACATCACAAAGGCCTACCGCCTGGCTCGCAGGACTCTCCCACCCCCGCACCCAAGGCTGAGTCGAGCGGAGGCGGTACTACTGAGGCAGCTCCAGACCGGATCGCTACCAAGCCCACAACTGATGCATCGCATGTACCCCGAGACATACCCGACCGACAGGTGCAAGGTCTGTCGGAGGGAGACGGCAGATCACACGCACATCTTATGGGACTGCATCAAACACCCAGAGGAAGCAAGATCAAGAACGATTCCGCCGCGGCTCGAGGCAGCTGCGAAGAGCTATGATCAGGATCAACAGCTTTGGGCCGTCCAGCAGGTCCTCGGGGCGCTCGAAAGGCAGGGACCCGGCGAGCCGACAACGGCGAGCCGAGACCCGGGCCGAGTAACGGCAACTCCGAAGACGACGTAGGCCCTCGTCGGGGTGCGCGAGCGCCCAACTGCAGGCACAAATAAAGTTTATTCCAATCCAATCCAATCTCGAGCGCCGCTCCTGAAACACCGAAGCTGAGCTACGCAGCAGCTACCCGACGACCACCGCCCCCTGCTCACCCGTATACGGCGCCACCTCAACGTGAACCTCTAGCGCCGCAGTATTCTCGCCGCCAGGAAGATCGGGCGTGCGTCCGCCCAGAACAAGTTGCGCCACGAAAGACCGACGTGCGGAGGACGGCCGAACGACGCCCGTTGTGTTATCATTGCGGTGAAGCCGGCCACATCTACCGTCGATGCCCCTACCGACAACTGGGGCTGCGCGGGTTCCACCCGAATGACCCGCGCCCAAAGTACGACGAACGCCTTCGTGACATCGAAGAGTACCTCCGACGTTCGCCATCCTCAACGCCGCTCCGCCGTTAGTCCCGCTCACCGTCGCCCAGACGTTCAGCGTCTCCAGCGCCACGACCCCGCCAAGAGAGCCTGTCTTCTTTGCGCCGCCGGCAAAACTAAGTGCGGCAACGCCTGGAGGTGGCGTTGCCGAAGGCGACCGAAGTAAAGAGCCTCCAAGAACGCCGGAGCGCTCCCACTCTCTCGGCGGTACGCATCACAACGACGTCCCTGCATCGGTGTTCAACAACCTAAACATTACTATCGACCAGAGGTCGGCATTTTAGGTCGCCCTCACTCACCCTCACCCTCACAGCCACTCACCTAAGCCCCTCACTCACCCTCACCCTCATAGCTACACTCACCTTCAGTCCCTCACTCACCCTCACCCTCACAGTCACACTCACCTTCAGCCCTTCACTCACCCTCACCGAACCTCACGGCTCTCACGCCCCTCACGCACTCATAGCCCTCACGTCCCTCACGCACTCACCGCCCTCACGGCCCTCACCGCCCTCACGGCCCTCACGCACTCATGGCCCTCACGCCACTCACCGCCCTCACGCCCCTCAATCACTCATGGCCCTCACACACTCACCGCCCTCACGCACTCACACACCTTGCACCCCTCACACACTCATGCCCTCACGCCACTCACCATCCTCACGCCCCTCACGCACTCATGGCCCTCACGCCACTCACGCACTCACCGCCCTCACGCCCCTCGCGCACTCATAGCCCTCACGCCACTCACCGCCCTCACGCCCCTCACGCACTCACACCCCTCGCACCACTCACACACTCATGGCCCTCACGCCACTCACCACCCTCACGCCCTTCACGCACTCACCGCCCTCACGGCCCTCACCGCCCTCATGGCCCTCACGCCCCTCACGCACTCATGGCCCTCACGCCACTCACCGCCCTCACGACCCTCACTCACTCATGGCCCTCACGCCCCTCACACACTCACCGCCCTCACGGCCCTCACGCACTCATAATCCTCGCGCCACTCTCCGCCCTCACGCCCCTCACGCACTCACACCCCTCACACACTCATGGCCCTCACGCCACTCACCACCCTCACACCCCGCACGCACTCATGGCCCTCACACCCCTCACGCACTCACCACCCTCACGGCCCTCACGCACTCATGGCACTCACGCCATTCAGGCCCGCTTCAGATGGGGCAATTTCGACCAGAAACTTGACGTTGCAACACCAGCAACACGAGCCGCCCGTGTTCACACGCAGCAACCAATTGCTGCAATTTTCCATCATCATCATGAAATTTTGTTTTTCTTGCACTATTTAGACGCACAATTACGCGCTATAAACGTGCTTTCAACCATTTAAATCTCGCTCAGAATACTAATGCATCTTTCTGAAACAGTTTATTTCCAAAAACGATCAGTTTCAAACCCGAACCAAGTCTTTTGTTGTTATCATCACCGGCACGAGGTATCACATGAAAATATCGCGTCCCTGATTGGATGCTCCCGCTTCTAAAGCGTTTTTCAATTGCTCCGAGTTCCTCGCTTGTTTCGAGCCGGACCGGATCTCAGCAATTAGTGCCGATCTGAGGAAAGCTAGGGAACAACCCGCCATCAACATCGAAATTGCTGAGAAAGTTGCTCCGTCTGAAGGGGGCCTCACGCACTCACCGCCCTCACGGCCCTCACGCACTCACGGTCCTCACAGTACTCACGGCCCTTACTCACCCTCACACTCATGAATATTCCTGGTTCAGAAACTCACTCACCCTCACCTCACCTGTGAATATAAGGGTCAGTGAGGGTGAGTGAGGGCCCTCATGAGTGCGGTTTGCCGAGGTATGCTATCGACGGCCACGGCGCATCGGCACTCGTGGACACCGGAGCAGACTACTCAGTCTTGAGTGGGAGGCTCTCTCGTCGCCTGCGAAAAGTGACAACGCCATGGGAAGGCCCTCAAATACGAACCGCCGGTGGGCACCTCATCACACCAGCTGGGTGATGCACTGCTCGCGTCGAGATCCACGGTGAGACGTGCCCTGTGAAGTTCGTCGTTCTGCAAGACTGTTCGAGGGACGTTATCCTCGGAATGGACTTCCACTGCGAGTATGGCGTCGTCATCGACCTCGGAGCAAACCTGTTGACGCTACGAAAACCTGTTTCACCACCGGAGGAACCCAAAGCGACGTCATCTGCGGTCCAAGTCCTCGCCAGCCACGTGAACTTACCGCCACGGTCGAGTGTTTGCGTACCCATCGGGATCACCGAAGCTTTTTCCGGCGAAGTTCTGCTCGAAGGAAGCCTCCAGTTGCTTCTTGGAAGAGGAATAGGCGTCGCAAGAGGAGTTGCTGAACTTCAGGATGGCCGCACTGTAGTCCTCGTTACGAACTTCCGAAATAAAGCGCAACACCTTACAAAAGGTGCAGCCGTGGGCCAGGTCGAGGAACTTCGAAACTCCGCCGCTATCGCCGCCATTACATATAAATCCTCGCCACCTCAGCAAAACGGTACGTCGCCAACGCAGCTCGACATTGACCCTAAGCTTCCGGGCCCGAAACGACGGCAGCTGCTTAACCTTCTTGCCGAATACCGCGATTGCTTTGCGACGTCGTCGAAGGTTCGCAAAGCTACCGTTGCGAAGCACCGCATCGTTACCGAGGACGACGCGCGCCCTGTGCATCGATCGCCTTACAGAGTCTCCGTTAAAGAAAGGGAGGTGATCCAGGAGCAAGTTTAAGAGATGCTGAACGACGACATAATCCAACCTTCAAGCAGTCCGTGGGCCTCTCCAGTCGTACTGGTTAAGAAGAAGGACGGAACGCTTAGGTTTTGCGTGGACTACCGGCAGCTGAACGCGGTGACGAAGAAAGACGTCTATCCACTCCCCCGCATCGACGACACGTTAGACCGGCTGCGCCACTCTCGATACTTCTCATTGATGGACCTGAAGAGCGGCTACTGGCAGATCGAAGTCGACGAACGGGACCGAGAAAAGACAGCTTTCGTCACGCCGGATGGGCTGTACGAGTTCAAGGTGATGCCCTTCGGACTGTGCACGGCGCCAGCAACTTTCCAGCGTGTCATGGACACCGTACTGGCAGGACTGAAGTGGCAGAGCTGTCTTGTCTACCTCGACGATGTCGTGGTGTTTTCCAGCGACTTCGACGAGCACTTGCGACGACTCCAAGCAGTTCTCTAAGCCATCCGGACCGCCGGACTCACCCTGAAGTCGTCAAAGTGTCGGTTCCCTTATGAGGAACTGAAGTTCTTAGGTCACGTGGTTAGTAACGAAGGCGTTCGCCCCGACCCAGAGAAGACTCGCGCCGTCGCTGCATTTCCGACGCCGACAGACAAGAAGGCCGTGCGAAGGTTTCTTGGACTACGTGCGTACTAACGGCGCTTCATCCAGGATTTCGCAAAGATTTCCGTACCGCTCACAAACCTCCAAAAGGACGTTGAGAAGTTCGAATTGGCCAAGGAGCAGCAGCAGGCATTCGACGAGCTGAAACGACGACTGCAGACTCCTCCTGTTCTAGGACATTTCGATCAAGGTGCGGAAACCGAAATTCACCCGGACGCAAGTAGCGCTGGACTTGGCGCGGTACTGGTTCAAGTCCAAAAAGGCACCGAGCGAGTTATCGCCTACGCAAGTCGGACACTGTCCATGGTGGAGAAAAATTACCCCACGACTGAGAAAAAATGCCTTGCGGTCGTCTGGGTAATCACGAAGTTTCGTCCGTACTTGTACGGGGAGCCCGTTCCGTGTAGTCACGGACCACCACTCGCTCCGCTGGCTTGCAAACCTCAAGGACCCGTCAGGACGCCCCGCTCGATGGAGTCTTCGACTACAAGAGTTCAACATGAGTGTGGTCTACAAGTCAGGCCGCAAGCACATCGACGCCGACTGCCTGGCCAGAGCCCCCGTCGGATCAACTTTCGGCAGCAGCGACGACGTTGACGACGAGTGCTTCCTAGGTGCTGTGAACTCCGACGACATGGCACGACGTCAAAGAGACAATCCTGAGTTCCGTGCGCTAATCGAGAAGCTCGAAGGACGAGGGAGTACTGTTCCCCCTGTCTTCTTGAGAGTCCTGCCGGCTTTCGTGCTCCGACAAGGTGTACTCTACAAGGAGAACTTCGGAGACAACAGCACATCATGGCTGCTGGTAATCCCTACCGACCTTAGAGCGGAGATCTTTCAAGCCTGCCGCGACGACCTGACGTTCGGACACCTTGGTTACAGCCGTACGCTGGCCCGAATTCATGAAAAGTATTACTGGCCCAAGCTGCTGAAGACCGTTAACTTCTACACACGGTCGTGCCACGAGTGCCAGCGACGCAAGAAACCGCCGACGAAGCCGGCAGGTCTCCTGCAGCCGATTGCTCCTCCGACCGCACCGTTCCAGCAGATCGGCATTGATCTACTTGGTCCTTTCCCACCATGGACGCAAGGAAACAGATGGATTATCGTCGCCACCGATTATCTCAGACGGTACGCCAAAACGAAAGCCCTTTCTGCAGGGACTGCTGTGGAAGTCGCCAAGTTTTTTTATCGAGTCCGACGTTCTCCGGCACGGCGCTCCCGAAGTTCTG